TGCTCATACCCCAATGGATCTCGGATCTCTGATCTCATCAATGCCACTGTTCCTTCCAATGATGCAGATCTCAACCTATTTATTTCTTCCCATCCCATACTGCTCCCAACTCCAGTCCAGACATTCCCATAAGTATACCCCAGGGAGTTCAGCCAGTGTGATGGAGGTCTTCCTCATCCCATAAGAACTACAGTAAATTGTGAGGTGATGAGAAGAGATTACTTTGAACAACTGTTTTTCAGAGTCTGGTAGGCCCCTGGGAATAGGGAAGAAGGATGCCTGCAAATTTTACCACTGGGGCCTTGGTACAGCTAAGAGAATGGAAGTGGGGGAGGAAACACAGAAGATGGCCTGACAATATTCTTCAGCTTCCCCCAACTTGAGGGGTGGGGTGGGGGAAGGGCTTTAGACAATCTATTCTCAGAGATCTCTCTCACTTTCAAGCTTTCCATTTCCTCCCCCTTAGCCCATTTCTCAGGCTGGATAAGGTGTTCCAAGAAGGTCCTAGAGGGGTTTGTTCTCCTATCTTCCATTTGCCCATCTATTGACTTTTCTTGGTCCCTGTATTGGAGAAGGTTCAGTTGGGAGGTTCCTAGGGTAAATGAACCACCCAGGTGCAAAGCTAGGAAGCCTTGGCTTTCTACCACCAGGATCTGACGGTGCCGGCCTGCAGGATAAAGTCAAGACCTTGAAGAATTGCCAAACCTTGGTAATCACATCCTGCCAACGCAACGCTCTCATCCGTCCTGGCATTTCCCGCTAGGATTCTGCCTTTTCCTAGTCTAAAGTGCACAAGGTCAGTAAGGGGTGATGGTCCATTCTGGCAATCTGGAGGCTGCTTCTAATGCTAACACTTCTCATTCTTTCCTACTTGTCAAAGCTTTTTTCAGGTGCTTTATCTCACTTGAGTCTCCCAATAGCTCAGCCAATCAGGACAGGGCTGATAAATAAACTGAGGCTTGGGGAGGGAGGGGAAATGACTCCCTAGAGGTCACATAGCTCAGTAAGAACTGGCAGTAGGCCCAGATCTCTCCTATCTCCTTTAATCCTATACAACTCCAAACCCAAAGGTTCCCTTCAGCTGACTGTTCGCCTGGGCAGCCCTTCCAATTCCTCACGACCTGTCAATGGACTCTAATCTCTAAAAGAGGCTAGCTCCAGACTGTTGCCCTGTTGGACCCCAGGAGACAATCTGAACATACTCTGGCTATTGAATGGGGCCACTGGGCTTGGACTTGAAAGTCAGGAAGACCAGGGTTCAAATCCCACCTCAGATGCTTACTAGCTATTTGACCCTGGGCAAGTCAATCACCTCTCTGTGTTTCACTTTCCTCTTCTGTAAAATGAGGGGCCTGGTCTTGATGACCTTTAAGATGCCTTCCAGCTCTCAATTTATGATCCTGCCTGTGAATTTTTCTGAAGAGAGAAAGGACCTTGGTAACCCTCTAGCCCAATCTGCTCCCCTTCTCCTTTGACAGAGCAGGAAATGAAAAAAAATAAAATAAAATAAAATAAAATAAAAAAAAACAAGAACAACAAAAGAATTAAAAAAAAAAAAAGACAGAGCAGGAAATGGAAGCCCAGGAATGGGAAAGATCTCCCCCAAGGTCAAACAGCTGGGATTCCAAGCCAGGTCCTCTGGGTCCCAGATGCCAGAGTAGTACCTTGTAAGGGACCAGATCTATCTATCAGTTACTAACCTCAGAGTCCACTTAATGCCTAGAATAGCCCTTAAATACTGGGGCTGGGCTGCCTTGATGGATGAGGGAAAGAATACAGGACATCTAGGTGATGGGCTTGGCATCAAGAAGACCTGAGTTCAAATCTGGCCTAAGCCTATAGATAGGTAGATAGATAGAGATACAGATACAGACATAGATACAGACATAGACATAGATATAGACATAGACATAGATACAGATATAGATATAGAGCTGGCCAAAGACCATGTTTCAGATGTCATCCAGCCATGGAAACCTGTAATTCCCCTCCCCTCATGTCTTCTCCCTGCCAAAACTTTCTACTTCTGGTTCTGGGCACAGGAATCAAATGAACAGTCTCGTTGCTTTTGGAAAGGTCAATGATAATGGCTTTTCCTATGGCTCCTGGCAGTACCTTGGTGACTTCCCAACCCTAATGTCCTTACCTGGCCCTGACTCCCTTGTGTGTGTGTGTTATCTCCTACTATTAGAATGTAAGTTCTCTAAAAACAAGGGCTGTCTCATGCTTGTAATTGTGTCCCCAGCATTTAGCACTGGGTCTGACACATAGCAGGTATGTAATAATTGCTTTTTAATTCATTTGTTCATTCATTCATTCATTCATCTAGCACCACAAGGGACCTCAGGGGCCCTCTAGTCCAATGCATTCATTTGACAAAGGAGGAAACTGAGGCTCAAGATAGGGAAGTGACTCACCCAAGGTCGCACAAAGGCTCATGGCTGTAGAGCTGGGAGGAATCTCAGAAACTATCTAATCCAACCCCTTCCTTTTACAGGAAACTGAAGGAGAGGAGGGAAGGTGGCAACAATTTATTTATTTATTTTGATTTTTCTTTTGTTAATTTTTAAGTTCTCCCTCTCTCCCTTCCCACCCTGCACTAGAGAAGGCCACCATTTGGCACAGATATGTGTGTGTGTGTGTGTGTGTGTGTGTGTGTGTGTGTGTAAAACCACACTATACATACTTCTATTTATCAGTTCTTTCTGTGGAGGTGGATAACATCTTCTTTCATAGGTCCTTTGTAGTTGATTTGAGTATTTATAATATTCAGAATAATTTAGTTGTTCAAAATTGTTCTTAAAATAATGTTGCCAGTATTGTGTACAATGTTCTCTTGGTTCTGCTCATTTCACACAAGTCTTCCCATGTTTTTCTAAAATCAACCTGCTCATCATTTTTTATAGCACAATAATATTCCATTACATTCATATACCACAACTTGTTCGGCCATTCCCCAATTGATGGGCATTCCCTCAATTTCCAGTTCTTTGCCACCACAAAAAGAGCTGCTATAAATGCTTAAGATTTATTAAGAAGCACTGAAAGGGTCATGAGTGGAAAAAGTTTAAGAAGCCCCGCTTTAGAACATACAGGTTCTTTTCCTTTTTCTCTGACCACCTTGGGAAACAAATCTAATTGCTGGGTCAAAGGGTATACACAGTTTTATAACTCTGGGCATAATTCCAGATTGTTCTCCAAAATGGTTGGATCACTTCACAGTTCCACTAAAAATACATTAGTGTCCCAATTTTTCCATATCCCTCTAACATTTGTCATTTTCCCCTTCTATCATTTTAGCTAATCTCATAGGTGCAAAATGACATCTCAGAGTTTTAATTTGCATTTCCCTAATCAATAGTGATTTAGAGCATTTTTTCATATGACTATGGACAGCTTTGATTTTTTCATCCCAAAACTGCCTGTTCATATCCTTTGGCCATTTGTCAATTGGGGAATTGATGAGGTGTTTGGGTGCTTGTATTTGGGTGCTTGTGCTTGTACTTGGACCCCAATTTCTCCCTAGTCTCAGAAACACAGTTTCTGACAATTTCTCCCCAGCCCAAGGACACTGCGCCTAGCAATTACTCACGGGTGAGCCCCAGCAAGACCCTTATCTCTCTCCCTGATGCAGTTACACAAAGCTGAGTGAGAGAGTGCTGGGCTGCTCAGGCCCCAGCCCTCAGATCATGTCTCTGGAAGCCTCCCAACTCCTTAGTAAGCTCCTATCTTGTGAGAAAACTTTCCCTTGTTGCAGAGCATTCTCTAATCAGCTCAGAGAGAGAGGAGTGTCTTGTCTGGCCCAAGGAGTTTTGTCCTTGGCTAGCCCAGGGACTCTTCCTCCTGCCAGATTCCCAAGATCTATGCCTCTGATATCTCCCTCCCTGTCTAGTATACTCCCTACACTTTCCCATCCATAGCTCCCAAAGACACCTGGACCTTTAGCTTACCTAATTGGTATCCCTGGCATTCCTTTCCCATGCCCTTTTCCATATAAACCCTAGCTCCATCCTCAGTCTCTCGCAGGTTCCTTAAGAATCTTTGCCTGTGGGGCAGCTAGGTGGTGCAGTGGATAGAGCACTGGCCCTGAAGTCAGGAGGACCTGAGTTTAAATCTGGCCTCAGATCTTACTTGACACTTACTAGCTGTGTGACCCTGGGCAAGTCACTTAACCCCAATTGCCTAAAAAAAAAAAAAAAGAATCCTTGCCTGCTAAAAAGCGTAACAATAAAATTTTTGCCAACTTGACTTAAAGATTGCTTGAGTCTGTGAATTCATTCCAGACAACCGTCCTGTCTTTGAGGGGTCTCAACCTCTCAGACCGCAACAGAATGACTCACATTCTTATAAATTTGACTCAGTTGTCTATATATTTGAGATATAAGCCTTTATCCGAGAAACTATCTAAAATGTTTTCCCCGATTTTCTGCTTTCCTTCTAATCTTGGCTACATTGCTTTTAGGCAACAAGTATTTATTAAGCACCTACTATGTGACAGGCACCGTGCTAAGTGCTTTACAAATACCTCATTTGATTACCACAACAAACCTGGGAGGTAGATGCTGTTATCCCCATTTTATAGTTGAGGAAACTGAGGCAGACAGAGGTTAAGTGAATTGCTCAGGGTCACATAGCTAGTAAGTGTCTGCTGCAGGATTTGAATTCAGGTCTTCCTGACTCCAGACCCAGGGCTCTATCCACTATGTAACTGGTGAGAACGTTTGCAGTTAGGTCCTGGTGTTCCTGCCTCTCCTCCACCTGCCTCCTTTGCCCACAGAAGGAGCCATACAAAGGACCCCCGCTGGAACTTCCCTAATCAACTAAACCCCCCCCAAAAAATCTCATTGTTTGGGGAAGCTGGCTAAATGCCCCAACCTGGCCAGGCCTCCTGGGCTTTAATTCGGAGGTGGAACAAGTCTCTGACCCAAGGTGAAGATTAGCAGATGGATTTGCAAAGCTGTGGCTAACATTTGGAAATCCCACATCCCAGCTCCAGCCTCCTCCTCTGAGGAGCAGAAAGCCCTTGGGTGCTTGAAGAGGCTGCCCCGGCCAGCTGGGCCTCACAACTAACCCGGCCCAGCTCAGTAAGTATCCCCAGCTCTGGCCCTCTGAGTGGGCTCCCTGGCCCTGGCTGCCTTCCTTCCTAGAGAGCAGACCTTCTTTGTCTGGCTCCCTATCTCCCTTCCTCCCTCCTTTCTTTCCTGTCATTTCCTTCCTTCTTGCCCTCTCTCTCCCCCTTCCTCCTCTCCCTTATAACTCTAAAATCTATACATTTTTGACCTTACAATTCTTCTCCTTTCCTTTCTTTCCTTCTTTTTCTTTCCCTCTTCCTTCCCTCCTTCCCTTCCTTCCTTCCCTCCCTTCCTTTCCTTTCTTCCTTCCTTCCCTTCTTCCTTCCCTCCCTTCTTTCCTTTCCCTCCCTCCTTCCCTCCCTCCTGCCTTCCCTCCTTTCCTTTCTTCCTTCCTTCCCTTCCTTCCTTCCCTCCCTCCTTCCCTTCCTTCCTTCCCTCCCTCCTTTCTTCTTTCTCTCCTTTCTTCCTTTCTTTCCCATTCCCTTTCAGAGAAGACTCTATTTTTTCTTATCTTCCTTCCTTTTTTCCCCTCTCTTTTCCTTCTCTCTTCTTCCTTCCCTCCTTTCATTCCTTTCTTCTTTTATTCCTCTCTTCCCTTCCCCTTCCTCCTCTCCTTCCTCCCCTTTCCCCTCCCCCACCCCTTCCCCTGTCCCTTTCCTCCTTCCCCCTCCCTTCCCTTTTCCTTCCCCATTGAAGTGTGTCTAGAAGCTGTCTGGGAGGAATGGGGGGAAATCTAGTGACTCAGATTTGGGAGTATTGACTTTGCAGAAAGACCCAAGGCCTTAGGGAGCCAGTTTGGTACATGGGATTTGGAATCCCCAAAGCTGGGCAGCAGTCCTGGCTTTGCTGTTTACTGGTCCCGTTACCTCAGGCAACTGTCTTGCCCACTCTGGTCTTCAGTTGCCTCAGCAAGGTTTGTTCTAGAAGGTCTCAGAGGACACCCCCAGCTCTAGATTGAGGACACTCTGGTAATTCCTAGGTAGAGCTGCTGCTTAGGAAAGAGTTAGGAAGGTAATCTTGGAAGGAAGCTGCTGCTGAAATGCCTTAGGTGGTGTGTTTGCACCTGGGAGATGGGGGACAGACCAAGGGAGGCTGGGAAGAAAGAGCTCTGGCCTGGGCTCAGGAGTCCTGGGATCTCCTCCTAGACCTGCCATTAACTTGCTGTGTGAACATATCCTCTCTAGGATTTAATTTCTTTCTCTGTCAATTAAACTCTTCCTATGTGACCAGCACCATACCAGTCACTCAGGACATGGGCACAAATGGCAACATTCTCTTTCCTTAAGGAGTAAGTAGTAACGTCCCAGTGCCCCAGGTGACTCCAAGACTATGTGTGACTTCTAGAGCGGGTCGTGATCTGCATTGGTGAAGGAAGTTTCCTCCCTGGGACTTCCCCATAACAATAAAATGGGATCATTGAATCATAGAATTAGAGCTAAGAGGGACCTTAGAAGGCATCAAGTCCAATCCTCTCATTTTACAGATGGGGAAACTGAGGCCCATAGGGTGAAAGAGGTTTGTTCAAGGTCACATAAATAGGAAATGTGTTAAGTGGGATTTGAACACTGATTAGCGAAACCCCAAATACCCCAAGTACCCCAAGTATCTGCTATACCTTGACGCCTTTCTAAGTATAAGTCATAGGTCTAATTTCCATGCCTACCCCCCAAAAATGGTTGAGGGAAGGCACTGGGGAGTGTGTGTGTGTATGTGTGTGTGTGTGTGTGTGTGTGTGTGTGTGTGTGTGTGTGTGTGTGTGTGTGTAGAGGTGAGAGGGAAACAGGAAAAGCCTCATATTATCTTATCTGTTTCATGATGCTGGAGCTGAACTTTAAAGGAAACTAGAGATTCCAAGACAGAGAAGGGAGTATGGTCTAGGCCCAGAGATGGGGGATGATGTGTCATATGTGAAGAGTAACAAAAAGTCCAGTTTGACTGTGGGAGGGAAATAATATATAATAAGCCTGGAAAGGTAGGTTGGAGCCAGGTCATGAAAGGCTTTAGGTGTCCAATGTAGGAGTTCATATTTGATCCTGGATGGAACAGGGAGCCATTGCATGTAATTGAACACAGTAGTGACCTGGTCAGAACTGCACCCAACTGATTGGAGGATGGACTGGGGTGGCTAGAGAGATCAATTAGGAAGCTACTGCAAATACTGTGCAATGATCAGCTGTGAATGACTTAGCCCTTCTCAGCAATACAATGACCCAAGACAGTTCCAAAGGACTTATGATGAAAAATCCTATCCACCTCCAGAGAAAGAATGGATGGAGTCTGAATGTGGATCGAAGCATGCTGTATTTTTCTAGGGTTTTTTTTTTATCTGTGTTTTTTTTTTTACAACATGACTAATATGGAAATGTTTTGCATGATTGCACATGCATAACCCGTATCAAATTGCTTACTGTCTCAGGAAGGGGGAAGGGGTGGGAGGGAGGGAGAGAATTTGGAATTCAAAATTTTTTCAAATGAATGTTTAAAATTGGGTTTACATGTAATAGGGGAAGGGGGGGCTGGCTACTATAATAGCACAGGCCAAGAGTGATGACGGCCTGAACTAGATGGCAAGTCATCAAATCCAATCCTTCATTTTATGGAGGAGGAAATTGAGGCATGGAGAGGTTCATATAGCTACTAAGTGTCTGAGGCAGGCTTTGAACCCAGATCTCCTGGTTTGAAGTTTAAGGGCTTTATCCACTGTTCCAAGAAAGCTTGTGGAGAGGATGTGATAAGGGCAGATAGGAGAAAATCAATTGGACTTAGCAAATGATTGGCTGTGGAGTTTGGGGGAAAGGGAAGAGTCAAAGATGAATAATAAAGGAGTTGGGACAAGGACCTCTGGAGGCCCTTCTACCTGTGAGGATCTATTGTCTATGGCTGTCAGAGACTCCAAGGAGAGCTGACCGAGATCCATGTGATTGGGGGTGGGGAGGGGGGGGGGAGAGTTGGAGGAAGGTCCAATATAACTCCCCAATTGGGTACCACACTCACTACCAGACCACCCCTACCCCATTCCTTTTTTCCTCCCTCCTCTTGCTTAGGTCATTAGTCATTAGGGATTCAATCTCTTCCTGGAGTTGTTAACAACTTTTGGAACTCTTCTCCAAAGAAGAGAGAACCATGGGAGAGAGCCATGAATACCCAGGGCTTTAGAGACGAAATTTTCAGACTTCCTGAAAAGCTACCTGCAGTCAGTTTCCTGGCAGTCGTTATCTTAAAATTGGACCGCTCACCATTCCCCAAAACCATTCTCTTACCTCCACGCATTTGTTCCTGCCATTCCTGGGGCTCGTGCCTTAGAACTGTCTCAGCTCAAATCTTCCTCCCCCATTGACCTTGGCCAGGCACGATCTCTCTTTCTTTGGAATAAGTCGGTTCCTCAGTTTGAAAGTGCTTTCTTTGCCATGGCCCTAGAAGAGAGGACAGATGTCATTCCCATTTTCTGGAGGAGAAAACTGAGATTAAAGAGAGGCTAGGTGACTTGGCCAAGATGGTTTACTTAGGAAGGGAGTGGCAGAGCTGGGCTCCCTCCTGGCCCTTTCACACGCATCGATCACTTGTCATTTTGTGTTTTTATTTCTATAGCTTTCTGATCTCCCTTACCAGAATGTTAGCTTGTCAAGGGTCCTTTTTGTAGCCTCCACAGGGCCCAGAGGGTGCAGCTGAACTTAGAGTCAGAGGACCTGAGTTCAAATCCAGCTCTGCTACTTACTACTTATTAGCCTTGGCCAAGTCACTTTAGTGACTTGTCTAAGCTCACATAGGGGCACTTGGATTTTAAGCTAAAAGGGACTTTAGGCCTACTCTCTGGGCCTCAATTTCTCCTCGCATATTATTTCATTTGGGATGCAGAATGGAGTAATAGAAAAAGGACTAGATCAAGTCAGGGGGCTTGGGTTCAAGCTCTGATCATCACTTAGTTGTGTTACCTTGGAAAAGTCACTTTATTTCTCTAGGACTCAGTTTCTCTTCTGTAAAAATGAGAAGGTGGGGCTGGATGACCTTTGAAGTCTTTTCCAACTTTAGATCTATGCTCCTATGTGTGACCTTGAAAAAGTCGATTAGCTTTCTGGGCCTCAGTTTCCCCATCTTTAAAATGAAGAAGGTTGGACTATATGACTTCTAAAGTCCCTTCTAGGGACTTTAAAATCTACATGCTGGTATGTGAGCTTAGACAAGTCCCTTCCCTGCCTGGGCCTCAGTTTCTCTCTTTGTAAAATGAGAGTGTTGGACCAGATGGCCCCTGGGGCCCCTTCCAGCTCTAGATGCAGAAGCCAATGAGACTATGGATGGCCTTGCTAGTGCCCTCAAGTGGCTACAGATTGAGGCTTCCTCAGAATGCCCTGGAAGAGAAGAGCGGAGGAGGGAAGAGATGGAAAACCAGAGGAGGGCTGTGGCAGGGACCCTTCTGGGGGCCAGGAGTCCTGTCATGTCCAAACCTCTGAGCTAGCCTCACCACCCCCCTATCAGTTCCTAACAGCCTCCTCTTGGCCACTCTAACAGCTGTTACCCATGAGTCCTTCCTTGGGCCCAGATCCAGTGAGTGGCCACCCCTGGCTAACAAGTGAGGCCCTCCCCCAACTCCTCCACCCGCAAAAAGGAGTCAGACCCTCGGTGATCAGTGCACCAGGACCCCAAGAGTAGAGAGCCCCGGCAGGAGCTGTGGCACACTGAGCTTAACGCTGGGGTTAATTCTAGAGAAAGCTGGAGGCCTCTTGCTCGCCTGATCATCTGGAATCCCTCCCCTAAAGATTAAGAAAGAAGCTCACCTGGCCCTGCTCCCCTCCTCTAATGGTGTGGCCAATGTGGGAGTCGTAGGAGACTGGGGTGGGAGGTGGGGAAAGTGCAGTTGAGTGGACTAGCTCAGTTCTGCCTTCTCTGCACCTTCAAAGCACACTGTCCCTGTCACTGTCCCTGGCCTGGGGTCTCCCCATCCACATTCAAAAGATCCATCTCTCCAAATATATCCCTCCCCTGGCCACTCCCCTACTCAGCAAGCCATTCTTCAT